TCCAGCAATCTATGTGTTCAATAACGTCTGTTATATCCTGCTGATATCATTACAGATGTTGTGGAAATAACAAGAATGCTACAAATTTCTACAGCTTTTTCAGTACCAAACCATTAGTAAGCATGAGCCCCTTTTCCACTGCCTGGTATCGAGTTGACTCGACTTGTTTTTGGAACCAGGTGCTTTGTTTTCCATTGCAGAGAGTCCCCCCGCAGTGTGGCTGGTTGTCACAGCGATGCTGCATGAAAATGCTGTGAAGTCACTAGCCCATGGTGGCAGGGCAGGCTCAAAGCTGTTATAATTTTCATTCCAGGACGGTTATTGTGCCATTTTATTAAGTTTTGATATTTTGTCAGGCAGAAAAATAACCATCTAGTTAATGTTTTGGGCTAACAGCTTCCTTGCCCCAATTCTTTAGAGTCTACAGATACTCTGTGCCTTTATTAATATATGTAAATTAAGCAATGCCAAAACTCTTAAGTGGGTCACAAACATCACAAGAAGAAATGATTTCTAGCAGTGCTGCTTAATCAAACAGTTCTTAATACAGTAATGCGTTCTAACAATAAAAATACACAACAAAAGTAAATTCACTGACTGCGCCCAACTCAATATTAAATCAGATAAAACAGTTCCTGCTGCCGACTCTGGAAGTACTGTAGGGCCTAGGTCCTGCTACAAAATGAGTAAGGTTGTCTAATATTGGTTTGGAGCAGGAAAAAGAGAGTGCTGAAGGTTGGATGTCCTCCATGTTCTCTGTCAGCTACCATGTGATGCCGCTCTCCTTCTTCCACGTTCCTACAATTAGCTGATGTGGAGTAGAGGGAGGGAAGGAGGTCCCCACTATACCTCAGCACACTGAACATCAACCTGGACCCTTGCCAAGATCTGCAGGCAGCAGCTCGCTGGTTTCAGCTTCACTTCCCCCATCCCATCCCCCCCTGCTTCCATCCTGGCCTGGCTTATCCCTGGTAGGGCCCCATGGCTCTGCCCCTTCCATTGGCACACAAGTTGAATAAAGAGGAGGGGTTACACACAACCCTAAACGCCCCCCAACACCCATAGGACTATATGGTTACAACTCACCTATAACTCTTTGACACAAAAGCCCATAACCTGTGTTCAACTCATGTTCATCTCCGTATACAAGGATTACAAGCAAATACTTAGCAGCTGCTTTTCACATGGCAATGAAACAATACTTTAAAACACTGATATGCTTCACCATCTACAAGCAAATGCAGCTTGCACTCACTTGCAATAAGGAGGTGTTAGAATCAGGGCTGAGAGTACTAGAAGATAAGATGATCACTCTTACAACCTGAGACCTCTGTCTCATACCAAAGACCTGCAGAGAACCATGATTCAGACCATACAAAGCCAGACTGAACACACTGCACAGATCCAGTCACCCAAGTGGTAACACATGTTCTTTTCATACATTACTTCAACAGAAATATTTATATATATATATATATCAAAAATACAAATAAAAACAGACTCAACCAATCTAATGCATACAAACATGTACGTATAAAAAATGACAACACAGAAACCCTGTCAATGTCAAAGTCATACTGGGAACTTGGCAGATTTATGCTGTTTATTTTCAAGGTCACGTCCATCCAGCTAGGAAGATTACAACTATTCCTGGCTTCCTATCGTTACTACTGCCAACACCACAGTCAACATATACTCCCCCCTTTGCTGCTTCACATACACATGCGCTGCTCATTTAGCACAATGGCCACACCAAACAACTGCCTGGCAAGTATTTATCATCCCCCCCCACCCTCCAAATAGTCATCCATAGAGCAGAGGACGAAGGTAATGGCTTTTGGCACTCTCCCGCTGAATACAGCTGATTCCACTGTCAATACCCCCCCTACTGGATCAGCACCCTATGGTGGTGTTAAGCACGTTATCTATCAGGACTGTGCCAGTTGTCTGAAAAGCCCCATAATTGCAGGTTCAGTAACTACCACGGTCAGGTCTGGGCTAAGGTCACTGCCGAGGAAAAGCGCCAGACAACACAAGCCACTTTTCCAAAGCACGACTAAGTGATTTACCAGGGTCAACACAAAATGCCTGATGAGGGAAAGAAAGAACTTTCTGTTTAGGCAGTTTGAAATTGCAGTCTCTGGGGCAACTTGATTAACCACTTTACAGAAATTAAAAATCAAAGCTGAAGAACCTCAAGTATGGGGGGAAATGCAGTTACACAGGACAAATAGTGGCCATTCCAGCAGTAGAATCAGTAGTGAGGATCAGGCTAATGATAGTAACCTGAGGTTTGGGCTAATGTTTGTGTTTTGTCTGTAAAGTGTCAGACAAGGGAAAGCAAGCTTTAGATTTCCTTTGAAACAAATGATCCTGCCCCCTCAGTGACCAGGGACTGCAGATAGGGTTAATGTCGGGGTTTGTCTTCATGGGTTTGCTACAGTAGACTGATCAAAACAATGTGTAGATACTAGCCACCTACAGCCCAGCTGAATCAAGAGCCAACATGGTTTATGGGCTTACTGCTAGTATAGTGCCAAAATGGCAAAAGCAGTAATGTACTTCCCCAAGTCTGGCCCCAAGTAAGAGCCCAAATTTCTTATTTGGAGTCCTGCAGTGGAAAAAAAACAATTACATACCTCAAGAATGAGATAATTTAGTGCAATTTAGGGTGTAATTTCTGTGTCTTGATTTGCAGATGTTGGCACAGATTGACAGACTATCCATGGACTCCCAGAAGAACATGTATGTGTTCCCACAGAGGCCAAAATAACAAAGTCCAGCATTTTATACACCTCTGTAGACTTTGCTGAAGGTTCCAAAAGAGAACTGATATCTTCATAAGATGTCTTGCCCTGGGAATAAGCCATGCTGGTGACCTAAAGTCCATACACACCCCTACTTTCCCCTAGTGTTGATTGCTGTGACTATAGTGGTAGCTATGGTGCTAAAGCTGTTGTGTCTGGGAAGGGTAAGCCTAACTATAAGAAAAGTACCAGACTCCCTCCTCCTCCTCTTACCAGGAGGCGTTAGCTCTTTATTTTCTCCCTATTCACTGGTTTTACATACAAACCAAAGGGCCCCGGCAACATTTTTCACAGCCACCCCCACACTGTGTGCTCATCATCCTTTTGTAAGGAGCGGTGTATGGAGGGGAGGCCCCCTGACCCTGGGTGGGAACAGGGCTCTGTGTGAGTGTCTGAATCAGCTAGGTGTCTAGGGAAAGCTGGAGGCAGCTCTCCACCCGATTACCAACTGCAGGGTGATGACCAACTGCCAGGGCTTTGAGCTTAACATAAAATAACCATACATTCCCATGGCAAAAACGACAAACATTTCATGTGCATAGTCACTAGCCAGCTCAGACACAAACACGCAACATACATTTCAAGACACAGACAAACAGGCATGAAGGCATACACATACACATACACTCAGCTGAGAGGTGATTTTGTCCAGTCCATTTATATCAGTGAGGCTAGGCTAAATTACAGAAAAGCTCCTCTGTGTAATGCAGTGCAATTCAGCAGCAGCACAAACTACAGCCTCTAAAATGACCAAACAGTTGAATTGACACCTCTGTGAAACAGTCTCAACAAAACCTGAACATTACCACCTTCAAGGAGGATTTACTGCCGGATTGTTGCAGTAGACTGCATTAATTTTAGCTAGGTGTACCCAATAAACTGCCAAATGACTTTACGTGTACATAACGCACATACAAATAAATGTATGAATGTGCGCCGCTGCCGCTCACGCACATTTCTCATTTCATCACCTCAATGGTGTGTGACGATAGAGATAAGAGAGTGGTGACAGAGATGTCAGAGAGGGGGAAGGAAAAGGGGTTTTTAAATTGAACGGGAAATTATGTACTTCAATTAAGACATGCGGAGGAGATATTAAAAGCTATACTCCAGTGCCTGGGGGACAGGATGCAGGATGGGGGGATGCAATGGAAGGCGACAGTTCAATCAGAATCCCCGGCTTTCGCACAGAGCCAGGGGGTGGAGGAATGGAGGGAAGAGAGACAGGATAGCTATGTTTAATAATGTACTTGGAATTAGTGTAGTGGAATGCACAATAGTGTGCAAGATACATGATGTGATACAGCTACAAAATGAACCAAAAGACCAAGCAGAAATGACAATCACAATAAAAATAAATCTGTTCCTGTGTCACACTGAAAAGAAAAACACTGCAGTTCCAATGTGCAGGCACAAACAAAAATAATAATTCAACCAAAGTATACGCGGTTCTTCTCTGTCAGCAGTCTACCTATAAACAGCACTGTGTCATCAAAAAAAAGCCCATTAGTACACCATTATCATCTAATAAGCACAGACACACCGAACACAGCAAGGCACTGCTTGCAGTCAGTTCATGGATCCATCACACTACACGCTCACATGCACAGACAGGGTGCGTTCCAGTCAGCCCAGCCAATCATTAAAAAGCTGTGATATAACACAAAAGTTCCCAACATTTCCACGTCAAGCCCACTCAAACAAACACATGCTAAATTTAACCATTAACGTCACACTGAACATCCACAGCAGGATGAGGGAGATCACCTTTGAGCCACCAGTTTCACAGGGGGACACCCTCAAAACCATTTGGGTGCTTTAGTACTTAAGGGGAAAAGGAGTCTCAAACCAGTACAATTCTCCAGTCTTATATCTAGAGATGTATACAAACAATGAAAAATGAGAATATATAGCATAAAGAAGCAGAGACTACTGTTAATGGGCGTTTTAGTGGTGTAGGTTTTGAGGTTGCTTACTGGAGCATCAGCGATGTACTGGGTTTAACTGGGATGCGTAGATGTGGGTTAATGTTCTGAAAGATAATGAACCTTCATTTTGCTTATTTATTGCAGAATTACAGCTTCTGTCCACTCTTCTTCTTCTGCAGCTTCAATTCTTAGTTTCAAACACTGATCAGCAATGGCGTTCATCAATTCATCCTATGTGTAAAATGATATTCATAATAATTGGGAACTCACCTTGCTTTAACCACAGCTTTGGCAGCTTTCACTGAAGAGTCGGTGCATGGCAGAAAAAAAAAATGCAGAAAAGCATTTCCCGATGTCTTTTCTTAAGTTACCCGTAGAGAGATGAAGAGATTCAGTCGCAATTAAAGTCAGACTTGGCAGATAAGCCGAGTGCTGCTGGAGCAGCTTGGTGACAAGATACCGAGGTAAACAACGGCTACTCAGTCAGATATACACACAGCAAGTACGGCTATTTATTCTTTGAGCAAAAACAATACAAAATATGCCGTGAAATTACACTCGCCAAAAAAACAGTTTGTTAAAACGTCACGATATAAAGGGGGCGGGGAGGGGAACGAAGCACCATTGACAACAAAAACACAAACACGAGTAAATTGACTTTTAAAAGCAGCTAAATTGTGTAAGGTGATGTTAGCTGGTCGGTTAAAGTCGTCGAGCGGTGTGAGGTTTTGCAAACCACAGAGATCAGGCAGCTTTCGTTAAAAATCGCCGACAGAGTTCTCGCGTATGAGAGCAAACCAACCGCAGTCAGCCAGCCAACTTGTTTTAAAGTGCAAAAGAAATGTTTTTGTTTAGGTCGCCAGCTGGTCGACTAGCGACGGACTGGCCACCGCGAATGCAGAGTGAGAAACGACTCCGGGGAAATACATTCTGTGTGGATCCGGGCAGCGGAGCGGACGATCATGGTAGGCGTTCAGTCAGCTCTCGTTGACAGTGGTCTCGCAGCCATTTTGTTCAAACTAACAGCACTGCAGTCTCGCTCTCCTCCTCCCAGAGAGCAGACAGACCAGGAAGTGGCTCCAGATACGTCACTCCCGACCAACCAAAACACCAGACGCCAACTCCACCCGCCGACCTCCGCCTCTCCCCTCATTCTCAACAACTCCAAGCGGCCACAGAGGATGCACAGGCAGACTGCTCATATTTCCAGCGTAATCGCTGAGGCATGCAGCAAGAACTGCGCTTTAAAAAGAAACAAATGTGAGACTGCTATAGATTTTGTGAGATGATATTTAAAGACAGCTACATATAAACCATGTGTAAAACTCGATTGTAGCAGTAGCCTATGTTTCAAGGCAGCATAGAAATGATATATATAGGCCTAATTAATTACCAAATAAAATATGGTTCCTGTTTATGTTCTATTAAGTAGCCTATTATATGTTATTAATGAAGCAGGTTATGTACTTTGCACCTAGCAGTGGTAAAAGAAGTATTTATATTTTTGTTAAAGCAGCTGTCATCAATATTTTTATGTTAAGAATGGGCCAGCTGACAAACCCACTGAGAATTATCACCCAGCTCTGCAGTTCCACACTAACTGTAGTGAGTGTTTAAGCATTGTTGTTAAACTCATTGTTTTGGTTTAGTGCCCATAACCCTATTGTTTTGTTCACTCTCACTACTCACTTCAGCGTCATTTCCAGATATAGGTAGCTGTTTTCAGTGAACAAGCTGTGTACACCTACTGTATGCTACCTGCCCAGCACCAATGACAGACAGGTAATGCTAGTGACTTGTTGGGAAGCACAGTGAAGCATATAGCAGTTATAAAGCCAGATATTTCTCTTAGGAATCAGTCAAAACCAAAACAGAGCATACTGTATATATAAAACTTGCATTTGTCAAGTGGGCACAAACAGGACTCCAGAATATATGCTAAGGTTGTTTTCTTTATCTTTGAACAAAGTACTGTTTTCCAACATGTTCACCAAATCAAACTCATAAGGCGATAATATGGCTATGTTGTTGTTACAGCTATTATATTATTATTATTGAGGCATCAACATGTACGCAGCATTTTAATGTTGTAGCTTGCTGAAGTCAAACAAATGAAACCTTTTTACTGTATATGTTGCTTGGTTTTATAATCTATAATGATGCATCATATTTTAAGAACAAATTATACGCTTTTCAAAAATTTAATCTTCAAAGTGACTGTAACTACAGCTTTTAACAGTAAATATAGTGGAGTAAAAATACAATTATAGTGAAAGGAGTATATTTTAATTTCCTTTCTTCCGGTTCTTCTATACCAGGAACTCAGAGAGACGAGGCAGTCCAAGTAACTTCAAAACAGTGCTGATTTATTCAAAGGATCACAGGTAAAATTAACATTACACGCTCAGGTGTCTTGCACCTCCAAACTGCTCGCAGGCAGATGTAAGATGAAAGACCCTGAACCCACCAGGCCTATACATTATATCCCCTCGGCTGGGCTATCCCCCTACTACACAGAAACGTCAACCGAGACGTCTCTGTTGCCAGCTTTGCAGCTGGCCATAGCAGTAGTCAAAACATGAAGCAAATCAATAAACACCCTGTCTGCTGACAGTCATCAACTCTTCTCTCTAGTTATCCTTGACCAGATGTACCCTGTAGAAACTCATAAGCATGCCTAAGCATTTAACAGTCCAACTAGACATCCTGTCTCCACTAAACATTTCTAATACATAAAGTATCTATCCAATTTCTATCTGACTAAAAATACCTAACAATAGCATAAACTAAAAATACTCAAAATTGTTCTCAAATAAGTGGCTGGCTCTTAGTGATACTGTTACATAATGTTTCACAATATAGATATAATGCCATACTCCATGTGACTGAAGACCAAAATAGTGCAAAAAAGTAGTGAAACAGAGGAATTGTAAAAGTCTACAAGCAATTTGGAACTTGCATCATGAACTTTATTTAGCAGACCTAAATGTCTCTTAAAGGGCCCACAGCCACTTTCTTTACCCAAGATGACCTTTGTCAAGAATCTTTTGATCACATGCTGTCCAGAAACATGGGGTGATAATTCCAGGCTATTCACAACATGATGGATGAGGTCGCCCTAGTGCCCCCCTGAGCTGCATCTGCAGCCATCTCTCAGTAAGGAAACGTGGCCCCTGTCTATTCTCTGCACTTCTTTCTTATGGAAATGACCACACCATGCACAGACAAACACACACAGACACTGTGTTGTGGGAACAGGTCAAGGCTGTAGTCCACAAATGGGAAGGCTGACCAGTGAGAACTGTCTCAGCAAAGCTCAGGGCACCTATACATCACTGGGAGAGACTACTAATGAGAAAGCCAGGGGCCCCGGTTGAAAGTTTTTTTTTTTTCCTTTTCAAGACAAGATGCCCAGAGCTATTAAAACAGCAAGCTTCAACTGAATGGAGAAAGCAGATGTTCAATACTCAGGGTTAAAGGAGGTAAGAACGGGGGAACGCCTTCAGAAATGCCTTAAGGGATATGTAGTTCACTCATCACAGACTGTTAAAATCTATATACAGTAGAAATTTGCTGTTCATTCATGTCAACTAAATCAGTTGTGTTAGTTGTAAATATTTTGTCTCAAACTTAATAAAATGGTGTTATCAAATGCATGCTAAATGACCTACAATACTTGTAGGTTAAGTCTCCTTTAGTTTCAAGAGATAACAAAAGAAAACAATGCATCACAAAGGACAAGTGAAACTCGAAATAACAGTAGTGGTTTGACATGATCTTAGCCGTCAGAGGTGAGACCTCCTTAAGTGTGTGTCTATTAATGTATCTGAGCAGAAAAAAGGGGAGAGAGTGTGTCTCTGTGCACACACATGCACATGTATTTCTGAGGAGTGTGTGCACATCCTTCCTTGTGCACATCCACTCTCCATGACATCACAGCTATTCTTTTAGGTGTCTCTGAGATGTTTCTTTGACTCCACCAATTTCCCTAATTGCTTTCACATTTAAGCAGACTACTGACAGAAGTGAGCCATTGGGAAAGGTCCGCCTGACATTGTGATAAGAAACAGCCCAGACACAAGCTGTAGGACTTCAGCAGAGCAGAGGCAATCGCTCACTCCTTCTCATCTCAGACAATACCCTTCTCCTCTTCCTGCTGCTCTTGCCACTCTGTTTTCACCCTTCCTCTCTCCATTTTTTCTGTGTGCTCTTCTGACTTTTGTTTTAATTCCAGCCCAATCACGAGCCACGTTCCGCATAAGGTTTTAATTTCAAATCTGCTGCCGGAGTCTGCCATACTCACATGCACACCAGAATTCATGTGCATACACTAAACCACAGATTCTCATGCATGCTATCACATCACAAATACTCACTTATGTGTTACGTGACAACCTGCATATTTAATGCATGTGTTCTGCGGCTACATTTTATCATTTAATATACTTCCATCCAGACACATTAGGGATCTCAGGCATTCATTAAAGACAAACACATCATCAGACAAATTACATAAACAGGCTATACTCAAAATCAATTTTTTTGCGTTAATCAAAACTAAGCACATCTCAAAATGCATTATCTTAACATTTATTCTTGTGGAATTAACCAAACAAACATGATCTGAGGGGTAACCAAACATTTCATGACAACATTGAGGCCAAGATAGATCTTGGTTTTAAATTCTAATTCCCTAGAGTCTAGAAGAAGACATTTATAGTTTGCTGTGTGATGCAGAATGACTGATGAGTTGGGGGGGGTGTCAGGATTTTGGTATTGATTAAGAATACACAATCCTCCTCCACAGTCTGGACTTTATGTATGTGAGTAATCAAAATGCAGACAGCGAGCTACTGCTCCTTCGCTCAAAGTGACATTTCCAAAGGCATGACTTGACATATGCAAAAGGACCGTCATGATGATCATTCTGACAGATGAAGGAGCCAAATGAAAACATCTCCTAACTGCACATAAAAGAAGAATACTCCACAGTGAATTTCCCAGTCCTGTGACTTCAAGGCAAAAATTTGCAAGTAGGAGCTGAATGGTTGAGCTGAAACATTAACTGAGTTTTTTCTCACTCTGATTAGCAATGTGATTGAAGTGCCTATCCATTTAATAACAGTTCAGACTGTTAAAACTGTGCTGAGTTGCTCATCTCTGAGGTCTGCAGCACTGCAAAGAAAGATAAGACTGACTGTAAGTTGTTGAAGGCATGGTAGTCTGGAAGAGGAAGAAGGATCCTTTTCATTAACTTGCATTAAGACTAAAGCATGAATTACCATGAGTAGGGGTGGTCTGTCACATAAAAGCCATTAGGCAGGGAAATATATAGCACACACACACTCC